ATGATCTTGCAAATAACACAGCAGAGACTGTGCTTTTCTCGTAGCATTAGTAAATACACATTGCAGGGAAATTGTCGGAATTTAACCTTAGCATATATAGGTAGCCTAGCTAATGGCCTTTGCATTCTGTCTAAACCGGCCATCCTGATTGTTCTTTTCTAGAGAGTCCATTTATTTTAGTTTTGTTGTAGCCATTTAATTATTGTTACAACATCCCAGTATTAAGCAGTTGCTTTGTACCTGGAAATTCTCAAAAGGAAGCTGGAAACTGCTGGGAAGAGGACTTTTAATAGAATGACCTCAGTGTTTGATTAAATTTGAGAAGCCACTACTGTGATATGATCATGCTCATTGGCCCTGGATGCAGGAAAAGTGCACATTATTGCATGCTGAATTATTAATACTCTGTAGTATTGTTTGCTTTATCCCAACCTCTCAAAATGGAAATCTGGTCTCTGCTGAGGTATTTTTCCTACCTACATTGCTTTGTGGTAGGTTGGGATAGACCTTGTCACTTACTCTTAATAATTTGATAAATTATTGCCCACACTACATGTTCAACTCAGTAGGGAATGTCCACCTTTTGCAAGTTATATGTTGTTCCATACCCTGAGAGAGTTGGCAGTGCATTTATTCTCTGAAAATATGCTAAAGAAATCCTGAACATTATTATCCTACAGTAGCATTTCACAAATGGGCTTCTTGCAAAATGTGAAATTGTTATTTGCTTTTTTTCTTTTTTTTTTTTTTTAAAAAAATCCCTAACCTGTCGCAAATCCCAATAGGTCAGGGAAAGGTGTTCTTAAAATATGTTTAAGACCAATTTGATACTGATTTATAAATTGGATGAAGATTTCTGTAATTGGCAGATTGGAATTTCCTTAAGTAACTGACCTTATTGGCATGAAGGGCCAAGAACTAGATCCCGTCAGGAATTATACACATATATGGACATTGTGTAAGTGACTTTCATGAGCTGCACTGTTCTCTGACAAAATGTTGTAAAACTGATTGACGGCTCTGCTTCACTTCCCACACTAGTAGCAGGGAAGAACAAGAGATTAGAGCCTGGAAGAACATCAGCACATGTGGATGGATGTTGCGTAAGTGACATTCCACAACTCTGCTATACACTGCAAGAGAATTACAGAACTAATCAACAGTCATACTTCATGCCCTATTGAACTCAAGGAAGTAAAGTTGCCAGTTGTGCTAGAGTTATATTCCGAGTTTGAGAATTTCAACTAGAATTGACTATAGCATCTCTGATACAATCCATAGCATCACTGGGCCCATTTTTTTTCTCTTTTATAGACTTGAAGACCTCAGTGTGAGGTTTAAGATAAATTTTAAAAATGGAAAAAAGGGTAGCTTTCCCCTGACCCTTATTTAATAAGGAAGAATCTGAGCTTCTATTGATTGTCTTGCCCCTGTTCTTCCCTTGTGCGTGATGAGAACTAAAGTTTGATTTGCTGCACTTTTAATGGTTATTTATAATCAGACTGGGAGGAACAAAACTACTGAGGAGATGCTAAGGAAGGCAACAAAGCTTGACATCTGACATCTTGAATTTTTTACTTAGCAGTTCCTCTCTCTCATTTTCTCCTTTTGGGCAACAGAAGAACCATTCGCCTCTCTGTTAGGATAGATGGAGGCCGGCATATGGATTATTAATGTCATAATGGCAAAAGTAATATATTCCTTTAGCCAAAGGCTCAGAACAGAATAGACTACAGAAAAAAAAACCTAGGACAACCTTATTCCCTTTAATCCCTGTCCCAAATGTGAGGTGGCTACCACAAAATCGGGTTACCATAAGAAGAAAGAGATCATCTGCTTAGTGTCAGTATTGGCCTTAGGGAGATGAGTATCTGTTTTCAATCACGAGGCATTTGGCTGAGTTGTTTGGGGAAATGTGTTTTTTCTGTCCCTAGATCCTATCTTTCGGAAATGAAACTATGAAGTAAAGGCTTGCCTATAGGCTTTTTTAAAAAATCTTTTTTTCTTCTTCATCTTATTATTTTGTTTTGTTTTGTTTGCAGAAATTGAAGGGGGAGTGATTTTCATTGCCATTCATCCTGGGACTAGGCTAGAAGAACCCCATGTCTGATATATTGTCAAATAACCTTTTCTCATTCTTCCACTAGAATAGTAAACAGCAGCTTTCAAAAAGGGCAAGAGGTTTTCTTGATAGCACTTTGCTGAATGAACTTAAGCTCTTATCTGCAGATTCACACGCTGTGTTCTTTCTTCCTAGTGTAGTCCTGACAGGTTCTTTTATGGCAACAAAGGAGATAACCAAGGACTGATATTTGAGGGATAAGTCACGAAATTCTGTTCTGTCAAAACTAACTTAATTTTAACTACTGAGCATGCATGCATATGTTTGAATATGGTTTAAATAACCTGAATGGGAGGTAGGAGTTATCTTGCTTGGTTTTCACAGAAGTAGAGATGTCAAAGGCATGCTACTGATTGTGTTTGATCCTTCTGCATGACTTTCTCCCAGTTTCATTTCTGACTTCAATAATTGCATTTTTGTGCATTTCCACCACTCCCTCTGGGAGGTTTTTTTGTTCAGATTTTATATATTAGTTCCTTTCCCTTTTAGGTCTTTTGTCTGTCTGGTGCATGTCAAGTTAGTGAATAATTGCCATGCACGAGTTTGTAGCATTATTCCTAAAGCTTGTTTTTGTTTGAGACCAGTTTAGTTGGTGAGGGGGTGGGAAGTTGGTTGGTCCACTGTACTGAAATCCTAATATATAAGCCAACTTATCCTCTATTGGCTCAGCCTCATGTTCATTGGGTGGGGGATGGGGAAGAGAAGAGTCCTGCTTCTTGCCGATCAGATCCAGGCTATGTTGGACAACCACCCCATCATGTTGACCCATTGCCATGTCCATCAAATATCTGGATAATTATGTTAGAGCTAATGTGACCCCTTTTCATTTGCTTTAATTTGTGTTTATAAAGTGCTTCCTTTCAGTTGGGTAACAAGTCTCTCACTGGCAACCATGCATGTAACTGTTGATTTGAGATTGATAAAAAAAACCAATCTGTTTTTACACATTTGAAAACATGTACATTATTATTTCTCCAGCTGTTATGAAGCTAATGTGTCCCCTTTTTGTCCCAAGATGGTGTGTAGTATTCATATTGCTGAGAGTATTGTTTCATTATCCTCAAATCTTCATTCTGTTGTTCATAGTAATGTGAGGCCTTCAGTGCCAGTTTTCTTTCTGTGAATCCACTGGACCGATGAATCATCAAAAAGAACTCAAGCAAAACTTTATTAGTATGTCAACCTGAACCCAAGCCTTGTCAGTACTTCCATTCTACCCCTATGGTAGTAGTTGCAGCTTTCTAACATGATTTTGTGATGCTAGAACCAGCACAGGAAGAAGTCCAGCATAAAACACACCGAGTAGACCAGGGGTGTCAAACTCAAGGCCTGCCGTCCGGATTCTGTCTGCAGGGTGCTTAAATTGGCCTGGAAATATCAAAGGACCAGCCCGCAGTGCCTCTGCCAGCCAAAATGGGCCACAGGGGGTACATGGGGGTACATGCATCCCCCTGCATCCCTTTTTTGGCCTCCATGGCCTCCAGCAATACTCTGCCAGCCAAAAACGGGCCATGCAGAGGCCCTTCACATCCTGTTTTTGGCCGGCAGAGTGCTGCAGAATAATAAAAATACAATAATATAAATAGCTTTCCTGCCTGGAAAAGTAATTTACTATTAAACAATGGGGTATAAATTTAGAAATAGAAAGTTTAATGGAGCATGACAAATAAGTAATAAATGTTTCCCACTAATATCTGGTAGAAGAGGTAGGAAAATGACTATAGTAAAGAACTGTGGAAAGAAAGAAGAGAAGTGGGGGGAATGCATCTTAAGCCTATGTCGAATGCCCACCACGCCCACCCATGCCACACACACACCTGGCCCTCCGCAGTCAAACACAACCCTAATGAAATCAAGTTTGACACCCCTGCAGTTGTCCATAGCCCTTTGAGCAAGCTTTGCTCAGCAATCTCCCAGTGGGTCTTTTCTATAGATTCTCTGCCCTTTAGCTATTTGCTTGACAATCAGGAGGTATGAATTGGAGTGGCTGTATTATTAAGGAAGAGAGGATTCCACATATATAAGCACTGACTTCATTTTGGAGATATAGGTTTCCCAGAGGAGATACAACACAAGCCTTTTTAAGTGAAACCTGGAATTAATTTGCCCAGAGGAAACAAGCTCACTTATGTTTTTTATCCTTATTTAAATTGGCCTGTAACACTGGCATTAGAGAAGAGCATCATTTATGTACCATTTCCCTAGATGAAGCGGTTCAGCTAATAGCCAGCAAGCTTTAGTACATCTGAAGGCTTGCCACCAAACCAAGTGAAGAATACTGCATGAGTGAATACAGGGTATGATTCATCCTTGGAATGCTTTCCAAAGGTGGGGAGGATCCATTTTCCAAGTGGTCTTGTGTCTAGGTGGATCTAAACTCCTTTCCAAAAAAAGAAATGCTAACTAGGCTTGCATATGGCCTAGGCCTCTTTACATTTTTTCTGGGAATGCTGTTTTAGCTAGTTATAATGCACAGAATAATTTTGAAAGAAAATTTGTACCTGCCATTATAACATAGATTTGGCCTGCAGACCACTTTGCAATAATACTACTTAAAATGAACCCATATGGCAGAATTTTACTGTACCTTATGGATTGGAAAATGAACTTATTTTCTAATTAACGGGATGCAGTAGAAATGAAGATTGGTGACATGATGTAACATGCCAGACCTCTTGATGAAAATAATGCCAATGTGACTTAAAAAGGAGGCATGTAGACATGAAATTCAGTAAACATATCTTGCACAGAATTTTCTTTTCCCACTATGGTTTAAAAGGATGAGTGTTGATGTCGCCACTACCCATGAACTTTGAAAGCAAAAATGAACACACAAGTTGAGGCTGTGACCCTACTAGTTCTCTGTTCCTTATTTCAGTGCGGCGAGTATCTCCTCGATTTTCAATCCCTCCAAGCAACCATGAGGTGATGCCTGGAGGGAGTGTGAACCTCACATGTGTAGCAGTGGGGTCTCCAATGCCGTATGTGAAGTGGATTGTTGGAGATGTGGAATTAACAAAAGAAGATGACATGCCAATGGGCAGGAATGTTCTAGAACTGATCAATATTACACAATCAGCCAACTATACATGTGAAGCCATGTCCTCACTGGGAGTAATCCATGCAACAGCACAGATTACTGTCAAAGGTAAGAAATTCCAGATTATTTCCAAAGAAATTATGACCGATATATACAGTTGCAGCTATCTTTTTCTAGATTTTATTCAGATTTTACATTCTTATTTTTTTCCTTAGGGAGACTGGCCAAATAATGTTTTATATAAAAATGTGAAATTAGAGCAGATTCTGTCCCAGACATGTAACATGTCTCTTCTTATTTGGTTATCTAATTATTTTTTACTTCATGAAATGGATATCCAAACATCAGAATGGAGTACAAATCTCAAACAAACCTACAGATGTTTTCGATATTAATTGCTCTGATGTAACTCTTCCCTTATTTTTACTTACATATTGATTGATTTATATATAGTCCTGCCATAAAATCAATATATTAAAAAATCCCAGATCACAATACTGGCCTTAGATTGTCTTATCTAATAGTGCAGAAAGATTGTGATCTTTTCTGCAAATGCTTGGGGTTATCATGGCCAGGATGCTATACTATCCTATCACGCAAATGAACCTCCTACCGATTTTTGCATCCCATAAGAATGTTCTTCTTGTAATAGTAGTACAATGCAAGTATTATTGTCTTGGTGAATTGGTCCTGAAGGGTATCCAGCTGAAGAATCTTTTTTCCATTTGAAAGCTGACTTGGACTCTTGTCTAAATTATGGTTATTTAACCAACCACCAACAAGTTCTGTGAACACATCTAATAACATGATTGCTATGTTTACCCTTTCATTAAAAGCACTCCAAGTAATATGTGGTAGTGTGTAATGTAAAATGTATGTTTCGGTAAAATTATTTCTGCCTTTAAAGAAGGTGGTTAAGGAAATTTTGAACCTCATTTATATTTTTATGCATTCTATCAATTGTATTAATAGTATAATTTTTTTTCATATTTTTAGCTCTGCCAAAGCCCCCAACAGAACCATTAGTGACTGAGACAACAGCCACCAGTGTTACTCTCACCTGGGACTCTGGGAATGCAGACCCCATCTCCTATTATGTCATCCAATATAAGCCTAAATCTTTGGAGGGAACGTTCCAAGAAGTGGATGGTGTGGCCACCACCCGCTATAGTATTGGTGGCCTAAGCCCCTTCTCAGAATATGAGTTTCGCATTATTGCTGTAAACAACATTGGAAGGAGCCTTCCTAGTGAACTGGTTGAGGCACGGACAGGAGAACAAGCTCCATCAAGCCCACCTCTCAAAGTGCAGGCGCGGATGCTCAGTGCTAGCACTATGCTGGTCCAGTGGGAACAACCTGAAGAGCCTAATGGACTGATTCGAGGCTACCGGGTATACTACACCACTGATCCCCATCTACCACTCAGCATGTGGCAGAAGCACAACACTGATGACAGTCATCTCACCACTGTGGGCAGTTTGATAACTGAGACTACATATAGTATCCGTGTCTTGGCTTTCACCTCAGTAGGCGATGGCCCCCCTTCTGATGTTATTCAAGTCAAGACCCAGCAGGGTGGTAAGTACCAATCTGATAACCCTTCAGGTGTGTTGAGATTGCATGATACATAATTCTGGGAGTTGCAGTTTCAACACTTTCAGGGAGGGAGGGAGGGAGGGAGGGAAGGAAGGAGAGAAAGAAAGAAAGAAAGAAAGAAAGAAAGAAAGAAAGAAAGAAAGAAAGAAAGAAAGAAAGAAAGAGAAAGAATGAATGGAAAAAGCAAGAATTAAAATTGTCCCCTCCATGTCTTAGTCTGCTCTCTTTCAGACATCTGAGGCAAAGATCATGATCATGGTATGGTTCACACATGGGGTTTGTTCATTGAGCAGCATGCTTGTGCTTCTTAATTAAGATTGAGGAAAATATGAAATATGTTATTTTATCACCATTTTATGTTTGTCAAAAATGGACATCTGCTTAGCTAACAAGGTTAAAAAGAAAACTGTTGCACTTGGAACCTAAAAGAAAGGGAAGGTAGTGAACAAAGTTATGAAAATGCTGTAAAGTTTTACATTAGTGATAAGGCAGTGTCTTGGACACTTCCTAAAGCTCCTCAGATCTACCTTCACTGACTCATACTTCATTGGTCCCTAGTTCCAGCCCAACCAGCAGACTTCCAAGCTGAGGCTGAGTCAGACACACGGATCATGTTGTCTTGGCTGCCAGCCTCTCAAGAGCGCATCACCAAGTATGAGCTGATATACTGGGAGGGAACAAATGGGATCCAGGTAAGAAATAATAATAATTGATTGCTATACAGTAGTTTCCTATGGAAGTGAGGCAGGTTTTTCTCTACTGCCAGTTAGATTCTTGTCAAAATATAGGTAGATACAGAAGAGTGTTGTTGAAAACAGCATCTTCAAAACAAGATGTCATGTAGTTATAAGCCTTGGTATGTATTTCTGTGTGAGTGGGAGAATCAAGAATTCCTGCAATCACTTGAATTCCTGTCATAGTTACTGAAAGCATTCCCTTTGTCATGAATGCATAGGTGAAGCTTCAAAGGTTGCCCAACTAGTCCTTATGATGTTTAGCCATGATTTTGATATTAGTATGATATTAGACTAAGGCTCTGTGTTCTCTGTGCCTGAAAATTACTAGAATTCTGTAATACTGGATTTTGTGGTATGAATTATACAAATGAAAACAAATCTGTATGTGCCTGTTAGTTTCTGCTGCTGATGGGATAAAGTTCTGAAGCCCAGCTGATATATTCACTAGAAATTCTATTAAGTACCTTTCTGACTGAATTTTCGGTAGGCATAACTCTTTATCTTTCATATCTTTTCTTCGCAATTTTATACACTAACACTTAGAGGCAATGAAATACTCTGGTTGCTGATTTGTTGGTGACCAACAAATTGTGTTTGTAACTTCTGTGACTTTTCAATAATTATATAGGTAGTCCTCGACTTACGATCACAATTGAATCCCAAATTTCTGCTGCTAAATGAAGCATTTGTTAAGTGAGTTTTGCCCCATTTTATGACCTTCCTTGCCACAGTTGTTAAATGAATCACTGTAGTGTTAACAACACAGTTGTTATGTGTATCTGGCTTCCTCGTTGACTTTGCTTGTCAGAAGGTCATAAAAGAGGATCACATTTATGACATTTGCAGGGCACTGCAAATGTCATAAATATAAATCAGATGCCAAGCATTTAAATTTTCACCAGGTGACCATGGGGATGCTACAATGGTCATAAGTGTGAAAATGGTCATAAGTCACTTTCTTCAATGCCATTGTAATTTTGAATCCTCACTAAATGTACTGTTGTAAGTTTGAGAGCTACCTGTACAAAATTGTGGAATGCACAGTACTATCCAAGACCCCTTCTGGACACTACAGCCAAGAGAGTAGTGTCTCTGTGTATGTGTTTGTATATAAAATTTCTATATTATTTGCTCAAACTGTGATTTAAAAGCTACTTAACATAACAAAATGCTGGGAGGGAAAATTCATTCTTTTTGCTTTCCTGACATTTTTATACTGACATGTTGCAGAATGCTGTGGTTGCATTTCTGATAGATATTTTGTTTCCGAAGAGCACAAGACTGTGCTTTGTTAGTGTCCTCAATTTGAAGATAATGATTTTCCTACTATTATGCAAATTCAGTAACTTGGATTCGGTCACTTGGGTTGTATTGTTGACTTGATTAATCTGCAAATATTGATGGGCAAATGGTTTAAGAACAAAAGAAGCATTAAAGGTTGGCTTTCCTTATTTCCCCTCCAAATAAAAAGAAAATGACTCTTATCTTTTCCAGCATAAGGTGGAATTTGACCAGACTTCATCTTATGCAGTTGAAGGGCTCAAGCCAGACACACTCTACAAATTTCAACTAGGAGCCTGGTCTGAGCAGGGACTAGGAGTCCTTACTCCAATTTTGGAAGCTCGGACAGCACAGTCCAGTAAGTGTCTCTATATGGCTATGGGAATGTAAGCAGAGGAGAGGGGGGAAATTCTGTTGCCACTGTGTGAGTTAATAGGGGGTTAGAACCGTTGCCTAGAGAAATAAGGAATGACAAGCCACCTATGGTTCTGAAGCAAGAGCCCATTTGGCCAGGGTAAGTGTTGTTTCTCTTTCAGATCATGCCCTTTTAACAGGTAGACTCACAGACTTACAGGGGAAAGCAAATAGACAGGATGCATTCCCTGTCTCTGTGAGTTTTACTGCATCCTCTCCCACCCTCCATTCAATTGCAAACAAGATACTCAATCTCTGAACCTTGTGCATGAATATCCCTGCTCTGCATGTGCTCATATCCCTTTGAGAAACACCCTTGCTCATATCCTTACATCCCAGGACATCCACCTGTCTATGTGCTATACACATTATGTTATTGCCGTTGCACATTTCTATGAATTCACTTGGAAAAGAGCAGTTCCAATCTCTATAAGAAGAGAAAATCATTAACACATTCTGCAGAGAATGAATGCTGAATTAAGTAGTGTGGTATGCCATGTTGCATACTATATATAATACCAGGCAACAGTAAAATTAATCAGATGAAAAGATGACTGACACTGGATTGCTTTTTATTCTCTTCTCAGCCCATGTGCTGGTGAAGTATAAGCTCAGTTCACTTATTGGCAGCTCAGAATGTAGCACGTAAGCAGATTAAGGCTATTAAAAAGCTCTGAGATAAGGTTGTTTTCACTGGTGATTTGAGGGCTTGCTTTTATGAAAACATTCAGGGTGGAAGTGAGACATTTCTGTTTGTACCATCTGTCAAGACTTTAGTGACTCCATGGGGCAACAAATGAAGGCAATAACAGCAGAGCTTTCTGGTCAGCCAATGCTTTCCCAACTAGAATCAGTTCAGGGTGGAACTGCTCCACTTGTGATTGAAATTACCTTTCATTTTCTTATTAGCAGCATATCACTTATAAGGACTCCAGCAGCCCTGTTTGTGGAATTGTAGTGTCAAACCAAGGAAGTGCCAAACCAATAAATTAGATCAAAGGATACCCACATGTAGATATTATAAATATTAAATATTGGAGAATATATTGGATGGGGATATTTATAGAACTGGTAGCAGCTACTGAAGAAATACATGAATCAGTAGAGAGAAAATGGGTACTTTCCCAATCATTGTACTTAAACAAAAAGGACAGATCTCAGAAACAGAGTAATACAGATGTGAAATATGATAGATGTGAATTGTGATGCAAGGCTGTGTGTAACTGAGCAGTTAGAGTGCAATATTTTGGCTTGTTAGGCACATTTGCATTTTGAGAGTGTAGAGTATGATAAGTTCTATCACAAAAATATGCAATGGGGGTAATCCATTCTTTAAATAGCTGCTGTGATTGCTCCAGCTTTATCACATAATTTAAATCAAAATATGCAGCCACTCCTTTGAACCTACAGCTTCCCCAATTTAGGATCTACTTCCCCCCACTCTTTCTGTTAACCCACGCTTCTATCACACATACCACTCTTGAACCATTCGTGTGATTCCCTCTCTCATAGAATATCTCCAGATAATTTATACTCTCTGTTACATAACATATGTATTTAAAAACTCACATGGATATTTATAAACAGACCTTCCATACTCTATCTGCACTGTGTTGTCTCCCATTGTCTGTAGACTCCTGACTTTTTCAAACCTATCAAAACACCATTCTTATCCTAGTCCTGGTGATTTCATGAACTCTTCCCTAGTAACTTCAAAGTTCTCTTTTGACTGCCTTACTAGATGGGGCAGAGAGGTTCATTTCTTTCTTCAGGTCCACTAGAGTCGATAGCAGAATGAAGCACTGCCTGTTATTTTGTGTTATATTACCTCCCTAATACTGTTTCTGAGTTGATGTTGGGCATAGGAACATTCTAGGGAATAAAAAGTGATTAGGCGTCTCAAGACTCTTTCATTTAAAAACACTTCCATCCACTTGCAAATTAAAATACATCCAGAATTAGCAGCAGAAAGAAATGTGTGTGACTCCCAGAGGAGCTATTTTGCCTACCCTGTAATAAGGGAGGATAATCCTGATAGTGTGTTATAAGCAGTTGCAGATCCCAGTCTGCAGCGAAAGATTGTATGTTAAGTTGGCACTGAAGATAGAAATAGGGAAGAGGTCCCTGAACTTAGTTGATAGGTCTCTGATATTAATTTTTCTGGATGATGCTTATATCTCTGTGCCAAAACAGGATGTAGGCTGGACAAACCGCTGAAAACCTGAAATAAGATATTTCATCATTTTGAGGCAAGAAAAATTTCAGGACTTTTCAGTCATTAAATAGACTTAAAACAGCTTAAAAAGTAAAACAATAAAAATATATATTTACCCCATCCACACCCATTATATGACGTTCTGCATCATTAACTCATCCACAGCACTTCTTGCTCTCCCTTATTTCTAGCCATTAAGGATTTTCCAGTCCTGCTCTATATTGCAAGGCCAAGTGTGTAAGATTTCTGTAATGATTAAATTATAAGGAAATTATTTCAGATATTCTAATCAGTCTACAGGTTCACTTTAATCATGTTTAACATTACTTCAGTGTCTATAGTCATCTACAGCAAACTGGGATTATATTAAAATGACACGTGCAGTAATGTCCTGATGAGGGCTATTATTTGCATTTGTATCCCAACATCTGGTACAAGAACTTAAGTTGTGTTTTTTGCATAATGGTGCACATTATTTTGCACACATGTTTAAGCCACTAGCCCATCAACCACTGTAAAGCACTCACTATAGAGGGTCCTTTGGAATAGAGAACTGGTAGAGGAAGTAGATGTTTTATTCTTCTTTCAATCCATTGGATTCAAGGTTATAAGTAAAGATTTGAATAATTAAACTATCAAAGATTATACACTTAAAACTAGGTGGCACTTTGAGCAACTGGCATTACAAGCCTGTATACCAACTTCAGATCTAGCCTGGATAAAAAGGAAAGCTAAAAGAAAATATCTAGAACTTAGATGAATGTAAATATTACAAAGAAAACTACTTGCCAAATGTTCTCTTAATTCTGGATGTAGTTATGTTGCCATTGTACAGAGTGATGTTGCTTCCAGCATTATGAGAATGATCTATTCGTTCAATCCTTCAAAAATACATTGGAATTACATTATTAAGGGCCTGGTATTCATCATATCAGCATGAACTGCTGGCCTTTGTACAGAGAAAATTTAATCAAGGCATTGCAAATGTGGTATGTTGTCTGTATGAACATGGTGAATGTTGTGACATTGACTGCATAATTTCTAGATACATGTTGGTATATATATTTTTATATCTCATTTAGGTTTCTTTAGGCTTCCATTGTTTAATTTTATTTTAACCTCTTTATTGTTAATTTGCTGTTTGTGTATTGACTCTCACAGATGAGATTCTTACCCAGCCATTAGCTATCAGCAGTCAAAAGTAATTTTGTGCCTCACATGGTTCACTTACTGTACTTTGTTAAACTTGTTTCATTTCTCCTTTGTCTAATTGCCATGAGTTTTGTCAAGTAGCATAAAAAAAAATTTATCTCAATTTCCAAAACGTTTATGCGTCAGGTGTGGAAGGAACTGCTTAGCTGTTTGTACCCAGGGAACCTGCATGTTTACTACCTGTTTCTTGGTACCTCATGTTTCTTTCTCTTTAGCTTTGACTTTTGCGGTCTTGACTTTCTTCCTTTACTAGTCAAATTTCTAGGCAAATTGAGCTTGCAAGCCTGCTTTATCATTTAAAAAATGTTATTTAACACACGTAACAAAAGAAACATCAAAAGGGAAATATCATAACTTGGAATACCAGGACATCAAACATCATACAAATCAGTCTACTGTGGACACAGATAATGAAACAAATGTTTCTCCATCTTACAGTGGAAAATATATATATAGCAGAGGGTATCATTTGATCACATTCATGATTATGGAGGATTCTTCTTTTCTTCTTTTTGTATAAACAATAAGTAGTGGAATGTTTCAAAATGATTAGGAGAAAGGGCTTCCAAATTTCACAGGCAAAGCAGCTTTTGGGTATTCCTTATTTGTGTGTATGTATATATGTATGTATATTTTCAATAAATAATAGGTGCACAACTTTATTTAGGATTCCATGTGAGTCTGAATAAAAGATGATATTCCTTTCAGGAGCCCACTCTTTAAAGTTAATATAATTCTTAAAGAAGTGGTACCCTTTTTTAGTTTAAACAGCATCCTTAAAAATCCAGTCCATTTTAATAGAGAGCAGAAAAATGCTATGTATAACCTCCCCAATTGTTTTCGAAGCATTTTTGTACAACTCTGATAACAATAAATGCATTCCAGAAAGCATATTAGAAGAGAATAGAATAACAGAATTGGAAAAGACCTTGAAGGTCTTCTAGTCCAACTCCCTGCTTAGGCAGGACACCCTACACCACTTCAGACAAATGGCTATCCAACGTCATCTTAAAAACGTCCAGTGTTGGAGCATTCACAACTTCTGGAGGCATGTTGTTCCATTGATTAATATCCTCAATTATTTTCCATCTAATGGAGGAGGATTATCATAGTAGCATAAGTCTGGTGACAGGATCCCATATTTTTTGCAAGGTTTGTTAAAAAAAAATTCTGGCATCCACAACAAGTAAATAATTAGGAACAATGCACTTCTATTGGAATCAGTGCACAGGCTGAGCTATAAATTCAGCTTGTATTGATGTTCAACGGTTGTCTTAAAAGAAAAAAATACTCAATGTTCTTGTTTCCAGAAAGCTTCTACTGCTGGATATTCCTAGCATATCCACATATATGTGCTAGTATCATACCTCACTGGTAGACTGGTGAAGATATATTGTAGATAGCAGCCATTTTGAGAGGACTGGGGTATCAGAAATAAATCAATTTTGATGGAGTTGCACTTTGATGTTTCAAACATTGATTTAAGACATGTCATATTGCTTCCTACAGTTCTATAGTTTTCTATAAATCTCTTTTATACTTCTTAACTCTCAAATATAGTAGTATGTTTTCAAAAAAGCTATGATGTTAATAGCAATAGCAATAGCAGTTAGACTTATATACCGCTTCATAGGGCTTTCAGCCCTCCTTAAGCGGTTTACAGAGTCAGCATATCGCCCCCACCATCTGGGTCCTCATTTCACCCACCTCGGA